TAACCACAAGTTTTTGTTGCAAGTTTTTGGAGGCTTGTACAATAAATTCTGCTTATCTTAGTTCTAGGTTTTCTCTCTCTTTATATGCTACCTTTGGAGAAAAAAAACAAAAAATGTTCAATAGATGTCACAATGCTAGCTGTCTGGTCTTCGATAATCGAACAAAGAATAAAATTGAATGCTATAACCACTAAAAAAAACAAATGTGAAAGGGCAGATGAGATTTTAAGAGTAGGGCAAGAAAAGGCTAGAAGAATTGCTTTTTAAGATTTCATACTTCAAAATTGCATAAACTTTTACAGTAGTTGCAACTGACTGCCATATTTTCTTGCATACAACACACACTTTTAATAAAATACCACTGCTGTATTTCAATTAGGCTAATTGAACTCTACAAGGAGTAGACTATGAATAGCATTAAAGAGAGTTGACTTAAAAGCAGGCACACAATCAGATATGACTTCCAGTTTAGATTACAGTTTTACTGCTTTTTGTGCTGGGGGACTTCGATTTGTGAGTGCTCCATATCTTGAGTGAATTTAAGTGTCCATAAGCATCAATAACCCTAATGCAGTCCAGCCCTTACTGTTTACCAACCCATTTGTAACCTTTGAACTTGTCTGAGAACTAATTTATTCTTCTGTATCTTTTTGCCTTTACTTTTCTGTGGTGAATAATATTATTTTAAAAATGTGCACTGTATTGATTATAACTTCCTAAACTTGCAGGGAAGGGGGAAAATCCTTGTTGTATTGTTGTGGCTGCTATTTTTTGGTTTGCCAAAAGTGTATTGCATTGTTTGAGGAGTGGGAGGGGGGTGATGGCTCTACCCTTCAGGTGTTTCAGGATGACCCTGAGAATATTGAAAAACTGGCCAGTTGCAGCCTTAGCTACATCACAGTCCACTGGCTGGGGAATTGGCTTTGAGGTCGGACCCAGAGAGTGGTAGTTAACGGAAGTCAATCGCTGTGGTGCACCGTGACCAGTGCAGTCCTCCAAGGCTCCATCTTTGGGCCTATCCTTGTCAACATCTTCATTATTGATGTGGACATTGGTGTCAGAAGTGGACTGGCCAAGTTCACTGATGACACCAAACTTAGAGGAAAAGCATCCACACCCAAGGACAGGATAGTGATCCAGGCCAACCTTGACAGGCTCGGAAAATGGGCGGATGAAAACCTGATGGTCTTCAACTCCAAAAAATGCAAGGTACTCCACCTTGGGAAGAAAAAGCACGCTTATAGGCTCAGCAGTGCTACACTTGCTAGCACCATGGCCGAAAGGGATTTGGGGGTCCCTTTAACATGATTGACCACAAGATGAATATGAGCCACCAATGTGATGTTGCAGCCGGCAAAGTGAGCAAAACTCTGGATTGCATCCATAGATGCTTCTCTAGCAAATGGCAAGATGTCATCCTCCCACTGTATTCAGGCTTGGTGAAGCTGCAGCTGGAGTACTGTATCCAGTTCTGGGCTCCACAATTCAAAAAGGATGTGGAGAAGCTTGAGAGAGTCCAGAGGAGAGCCACGTGCATGATCAGAAGTCAGGAAAACAGGCCTTATGATGAGAGGCTGAAAGCTATGGGACTCTTCAGCCTGGAAAAGCACAGGCTCAGGCTCAGGGGGGTCCTGGTGGCTGCCTATAAGTATATAAGGGGTGTACATCAGGATTTGGGGGAATGCCTATTCACCAGAGCGCCCCATGGGATGACAAGGTCAAATGGTCACAAACTCTTCTCCAAGACCATTTCAGGCTGGAGATAAGAACTTCTTTACAGTCTGAGCCTCCAAGGCCTGGAACAGACTGCTGCCAGAGGTGGTGCAAGCACCTACTCTGGATTCCTTTAAGAGTCAATTGGATGTTTATCTTGCTGAGATCCTGTGACCTCAGCTGACTTCCTGTCCCTGGGGCAGGTGGCTGAACTTGATCATCTTTCAAGTTCCCTTCCAGCCCTAATGTTTATGAAATCTATGTAATCCATTTATTTTTTACCTGGGTGTTTAGTGAAAATTCAGGATCTTGCAGGTTGTTTCAAGTAGGAGGAAAAGTTCACCGGGATGGATCGAGGGAGAGGGGAGTGGACTGATGCACTTACAACTACCTTTGATTTCTGGTCCACCCAAAGTTTAAAACAAACTCTCTGGCAGTTCTGAGGCAGTCAATTGACTTCATGGCTCAGTATAATCTACCTGATCCCTTCTAAACTGGTTATTTCACAGCTTTTAACAACTTCCTCTTCTTTTTAATGGTCTTGATGTTCCACCAATCAAGATGTCCTCTGTTCTGCAGTGATGCTCTCTGTTAGCTGCTCCTAGTAATGAAGCTCCTATTTCACAGCCCTGCAAATAACCCACTCCAATAAAGTTTTTTTTTGCTTCAATCTTAAGCTGAATAGTACTGCAGTAGGCCCCTAGCGTATTAGTAAAGATTCTAGTTTACTTTTGCCTGGAGAAAAACCTGTGTTGTGTCATATGTGATGATGTACCTCACCATGTGTAACCCCCTTTTTAAAATTATAGATCTGTCCCTAGAAACTATTGTCAGTTACATCTTTCATATAGATTGTATATTCTCAAAGTATGTACACAGTCAGGTTTCGTTAACAGGAGATAGCTTCTTTGCTCAAGCAAAGCTTACTTCAGCCAGCACTTAACTCAAAAGTGCTCTCAACTTTTTCTTGGAGTTTTGCCACCAGTGGCCTTTTTTCTGTCCTTCCAAGCTGCATTTTTTGTCTGCTTCTCAGGTTTCTTTTTCTCTTTCTGTCTGCCTCTTAAGAATGGTACCAACCACAGTCCTTCTGTTCACTTAATTCAAATGCCAAAAGATTTTATATCCGTCTTTGTCTTGGATAGTGATATGTCCCTGTGTTTTGCCAGGAGGCCAGTATTGTTTTCTCTTCCTGATTTAAATAAAGAAGCAACACTGCTTCTTAGAACTATCTTAAGTGAAGTTTAACCCTACAAGTTTCAACAAAGTTTAAACCAAGCAATAACAATATAAAAGTATCTAGGTTTACATTATATTCTAAAATGTAATTCGTCAAAGGTTTTTTTAGTTGCTTGTAATTTACATGGAAGAATTGTACATTTATACAATTGTATAGTTAATATACAATGGAAGAATGTTCAGTGCTGTGAACATAGTCTTTTAAAAAAGTAAGGTTCAGTTTGATCTATTCTCTTAAAATATTTTTTGAAGCAGGACTCTAGTTTGGAGCTTTCTGTATTTGCACACACCTGTGATAAACGTGGAGATGTATAGTATATCGGTTATAAATGCTGGAAGGCAGGGGTGTCAAACTCTGAGTGAGGACCAAACTACCTTTTTGGTGGGGCCTTGACCTAGGAATAAAGAATGTCCTTGGCAACAGGCATTTAGTATCTGTTGCCTGTATAATATGCATCTTTAGAGACCAACTAAATAATGCAAAAAGGATTACATTTTGAAAGAATTAGCTTAGTTGTGAGCCGTCTTCCTTCTGCCCCTAAATGCAGTATCAGGGCCGCCCATCTCCATGTCCAGTTGCATATTAAATGCTTTCTGAGCTTTCTATAAATTCTTCTTTTACTTGTTTGTTAGCTACCTCGTAGATAAGTGATTCCCAAAGCATGTGTTGCAGCATACTAGTATGCCGCAAGTGACAGAAGTGTACCACAGGATGCTGCTGTATGAAGAGATAAATGCTTTCATCCCCCATCTTGCACCTGCACTCGCCTTGGTTGCTCTGCTGGGGGCTGTCACTAATTTCCCCCATCTTTCCCCATACCCAAACAGCTCCTTTACCTTCCAGCCCTCTGCACTGCCCCCCATGCTTCCAGCAACAGACTGTACTGTGAGTAGGCAGATGAACAGATGCACAGATATAGTCATGTTTTGCAACCAAGCTCATCTCCTCCACTTCTACCATGCTTCCAAGGCCATCGGGGGCTCAGAGGTGGTTGCTGGCAAGTTAGACAGTGGAAGAATAGGCTCAGCAGTGGGCAGTCCCCTTGCTCCATGAGGTACAGACCAGAGGTCAGGAGAGGGCAGACAATAGAAAGAACAGGGCACAGCAGAGTGAGGTCTTGCCCCTACTGCTGTTAAGTGGCACCAGCTAAATCAATGATTCTCAACTTTTTCAGCGTCAAGGCCCCTTCTATACCATTTCTTAATTTAGCGTGAAGTGTACTGCCAATTTTAATCCAGAAAAAAGTATTCCACAGGTATTGAAAGGTTGAGAAATGCTTTCATAGATATTGCTTGCTCTCTGGAAGGGTAGTGGCTGAAGGTAGGAAGCTCTCCTTCTCTGAACTGGTGGACTTGAGAAGCTATCTGAGAGCCAGCTGCTACCAGCTTGCAACATGTGGGACCAGGAGAGGACAGGAACTCAGTTAGGAAGGAGCTTCCCTTATGCATAGGTGCTAGGGTGTGCTAGTCCTGCCCCCACCTATATAGCTTCTGTGTAGAATACTGCTGCCAACGATGCTCAGGTTGTCATCATCCACATGGAATTTTCTTCCACAGCTTCATCCACTTGACCTCTGACTCCTTCATGGACTCTTTTAGCTGCAGCAGGTTAGCAGTTGTAAATTATGGAGGGAGTTCTGGACCAGAGGGAAGGATTTTCAGGTCAAATCCAGCCTACAGGCAATTTTATGCTTGATATATCTGATGCAAGGCTTTTTTATTACATTTTCTATGAGGACTTTGCCATTTGGCTAGATAGATTATAACTACCTCGTGTAGAATAGATGTGTTCAGGTTGACTCTGGTGGAATAAATAATGCTGCAGATTTTGCAGGTAATTCAATGGTTACTTCAATGACAGAAACATATTATGACTTTTGTGGGTACCCACAGAGTTTGATAGCAAGAGTTTGAGACTTTCTTAAAAGACCTTTTAAAGATCTTTATTTCTGAGACAGATTCTACCATTTTAAAATGTAAAGAAGCAAACTAATTTTTTTAAGCTTTTAGCACAATTACTGTATACACCATTTCCGTAATAAAAATACCATAAGCTCAATAAATACCTTGTTGGTATTGGTGACTGAAGGTACAGTATTTCTTAGTCTAAATCTGTCATCCTTCTTTAGCACTGTTAGCTTTTTCATTCTCCAGATATTTTGAACTCTTGATCTTTGATATCTTTGGCAGAATCTCTACATCCTTTAGGTTAAATACAGACATCCAAGAAGCCTGAAGCTGAATTGATTCAGTCTTTGCTAGTTAGTCTAAGCTGCAAAGATTGAACCAATAAGCAAATGAACAGACATTCATTCTTGTTTTAGGAAATGGAGACACATGCCTGCAGTGGCTCAAGCCAGGTGCCAGGGGGCACTAGAGCATGGCTCCCTGGCGCACAGCCAGCATAGGCTGTGTGTTCAGCTCCTCTTCCCGCTGCCCACAAGGGATTTGCTCTAGAATTTGCAGTCTACAGTCATAGCAGCAGGACTCTTCAGGATGCCTCAGCACTTCCTCTTCCTGCTTCCAGGTGTCTCTGGGATTTATAGTCCACAATTGCAGCCAGCAGTAAGATTAGCAGGGCATATCTATACTCAGGGAAAAGGAAGTTTAACACCCCTCCCTGGCCCCAGGCCCCAGTCAGGCTTTGCCTGGGGTCGGGGTAGGGTGGCCATCAAAGTACCTCAACAATAGAGGACAGTTGCACTTAGTGCATAGTGATTTTTTCCCCCTTTCTGATTTTTGCTATGAAATCATGTTCTTTCAACCATTCTGAGCTGAAGGATGTCTTTTGCTTGGGCATTTTGAATTAAGGGTGATGTCAAACTGATTTTGAAGACTAACATTTAACAGTGGCAATCCAGCAGCCTTAATGTAAGGACATCATTAGGAAGCATGACAAATAGGGTTTTTGTTGACATTCACAGGACCAATACAAACATGGGATTAATTAAATGACACATATATTAACCAATGAAGACAAACAATCTAAAGTTCAGTTGTTGGTTGAAAGGTTGAGTGTCTCAAGAGAAAAATAGAGGACATAAAGGCATCTGGTTTCATATCAATAGAGGAGAGACAGAAGAGTAGCAGAAAACCAGACTGTCCTCTATAAAATGGGACGAATGGACACCTTAGGTAGGGGAGAGGGCACTGAGGCCA